AGCGCGTCTACGAGAAGGCGCTGCCCGAGGAGCGGCTCTTCGGCATCCTGCCCAACTGCGGCCACGCGTTCTGCCTGGGCTGCATCCGCCAGTGGCGCCGCAGCCGGGACTTCGAGGCCTCCATCATCAAGTGAGCCTTGGTCCCCTTCCCCAGGTCCTCCCGGCATGGGGACCGGGATGCTCCTGAGCATCTCGCCCTGTTGTGTCCGGCTGTGGGAAGAGGCCGCTGAGGCTGTGGGGTTTGTTCTCCTGCTTTGGGCACTCCTTGGAAACACCCCCTTTGCATGCGCTGCCTTTTCCCAGGGCCTGCCCGGAGTGCCGTGTCACATCTAGCTACTACATCCCGCACAAATATTGGGTCACGGAGGCAGATGAGAAGGAGAAGCTGATCGAGACCTTCAAGGCGCGGACGGGGTGAGCACCGGCGTCACGTCTCGGCGATGTCCGTGCTTTTTCCTCAGCTCACCAGCTTCTAATAGTGCTTCCACGCTTCCTAGGAAAATCCGGTGCAAGTTTTTTGTGCGGAACCGCGGGCGCTGCCCATTCAAGTCGGACTGCATCTACCTCCACGAGCTCCCAGCTGGCTGGAGCTCTCGGCGGCGCCGGCGGCGGCGACAGCAGTGGAGGGTCCCGGTAAGCGGCAGCTCCCCGGGATCTGGATCCGTCTGTCCCGCCGGGGCTCAGCCTTGTCCTGCGTTGCAGGAGTTTGACCCGTTCCTGCTGGAGAGCTCGGACGAGGAGGAGGAGGATGAGGAGCTCTGTGCCCTCGAGTGGGCTCTCACGTGGGCCCTCATGGATGCCGAGACCCGGGAATCCACATATCGACTCTTCATGGACCTCAGCGACTCTGACTAGGTCCCCTCCTGCCACCGGGGGGACCGACCGTGTCCCCCCGGCAGCCGAGGAGGCTGCAGTGGCCCCTTTGCAAGGGGGCCACCGTGTCCCCTTCGCTCTGGAGGGGTGTCATGCTGGGGCCTGCAGGGTGCTGGGACAAGGGGGGCTGTTTTTAATGCATGTGCAGCTGTGCTGGGGGGGCAGCTGTGCTGCACGGTTTTAAAGCGCTTTTTTTAAGCCTAGAGTGGAAATGATGAAATAAAACGAGCTTTGCGTCACGCTGCTGTGTGGGACTCTCCTTCCGCGAGCGGCCGCGGGAGAGGGGAAGAGGTTCCTTTAAGGGGCGGGTCGCATGACGCATGTGAATTAGCATACGGCCTCATTTGCATAGAGCGATTTGCATGCGCGGCGCGGGAACGGCGCGGCGGGGGAGGCAGCGGCGCGGGCGGAGTGCCCCGGGGCCCCCTGACCCGCTGCATCGGGGGAGCCTCGCGTTGGCCACGGGGGAGCCGCGTGAGGCAGCATTTTGGGGTGTTTTGTTGGTATTTTGGGGTGTTTTCTTGTTTTGCTCTCAATTTTTGATCTCTTTGTAGAGGGCTCGGGGGTGCCCCCTCCTTGGCGCAGGTACAACCCTCACCCCGGTGTCGCTGCTGCATCCTCGGGTGACAAACTGACCACGTGCACCCAGGACAGCGCGAGCGCCTGTGGATCGCGCGTGTCCCAGCTGCCCCATCCTCCTCCTCGCGTCCCGGCTCGGCCTCTCCTGGATTCCTCCTTCCCCATGGAGCAGCCCTGGCTGAAGCGGCTC